TTTACTAAGTAAATTACTCTTGGGCTTGTAACAAAAGTTGTAAAGCTTATCAAGATGCATCTAATAGTAGTAATAATGTTAAAATCAGTCTGTGGTTCTTGAGAAATCTTTAAAAAAAATTAATTTTTTTTAAAGAAATTTTATATGTAAAAAAGAAGTTTTTAAAGATTTTTCAAGAACCACCAGGCCAATTTTAACATATTTACTACTATTAGATGCATCTTGAAAAGCGTTACAACTTTTGTTACAAGACCAAGAGTGATTTACTTAATAGAAAAAAAGTTTCGGATAGAAGCGCTGCACATTCAGGCTTATAGTAAAATTTATATATAAAAAAAAATATTTGTTTAGGTGACTCGTGATTTGTCTATTAAATAATATAGATTATAAAAAAAATAACTTTTTTATTAAAATAATATTCTATATATAATAGATTTTACAATTTTGTTAAATTAATTTAATGCTTTACTAATAAATTTATAAATATATTATAATATAATTAAAAGATTAGCCATAGTAAACGGTATGCACTATGATGGTCGTGTGACTACAATGCATATGACAATCACGTAATGCCAACAGACTCTTCATACAAGAGCTATTTTTATTTGGTTTATTTATTATACTATTTATTTATTTACAGTATATATTTATTTATTTATTCATACTATTAACTATATGTAAGTTGTCACGCATAGTATCATTATGCATATGATTGTTATGCATAGCATTGTTAAGGTAGTAACTAATTAAACAGGGTTGTAACTGACAGATACAGGATATAGGTGAGATTTTCTGGGTTATATGAAAACCTGGCCTCCAATTATCTTCCAATTAAGATCAGGGCAAATCCTCTTTTCAGTTATACAGATTATATATACAGCCTCTTTTTTTTGTTTGCATCTTTTTTTTTTGTGCCATCAAACTTTACTGCCTCTTTTCGTTCACTAAAGTCATTATTTACTAGTGCTTCTTTGTGTTACTAGCATCATCGTCGTGTTGTTTACTAGTATTTCTTTTCGTCGCTTGTGGTGCTGGTACCTCTTTTCATATATTTCTTTGGTCCTAGTATAAATTCGAAAATAAAATCTACAAAAAAAAGAAAGGTTAGTTCAAGTCAAGAAAAAAAAAGAAAAATATATGTAAGAAAAAATACTTGTCTTCTTAAACTCAGCTTCTGTCTTATTGTTTAATCTACATTTCGTCGTATTGATTTATTTCTGTATTTGATATACGGGTTAGATCGCAGGATTAGTTAAGAGGTACTTGCGCGGTTTAGAGTTAGGGTTAGGATTAGTGTAGTATTAGTATAAAAATGGTTTTATTAGTATAGAAATAGTTTATGTAAAGAATTATGTAAAATAAAATAAAAAAATAATTTAAATAAAATAATTTAAATAATTTAAATAATTTAAACTGAATTAAAAGAAAAAATAAATAAAAAATAAAGCTTACCGTCAAGAAAAACTGCTAAAAAGAGCTTCTGAAGTGTTTTTTTTATTTGATTAAAAAGAGTGCCTTTTTTTTAACTATTTCGCCACTCTAGTACGTATATGTAGACTGCTTCAAGAGATCTTAACGGTCTTAGTTTCTCATGATGTACATATACTAATAAAAAAAAAAAATTTAGAATAAATAATTAAAAATAAAATAAAAAATAAAAATGAATTAAAAACTAAAAAATTTAAAAAAGTCCAAAAAAAAAAATAAAAAAATAAAAAAAAGAATAAAACGAAAAATAAATAATAAAATAATTTATTAAAAAAAAAAATTTAAATTAAAAAAAACAACGATTAAAAAAAAAAAAAAATTAAAAAAAAATAGAACGATTAAAAAATATATATATATATTTTTTATTTAATTTTTCTTAAATTATTTTTTATTTAATGTTTTAACTACCAGTATTTAAATTTTTTAGTTTTTAATTCGTTTTTATTTTTATTTATTCTAAATTATTTTTTTTGATTATTAGTATACATATCGCGAGATGAAGCAGCCATACTAGAGTGGCAATAAAAAATACTTCAGAAGCTCTTTTTAGCAATTTTTCTTGAATCGCTATATGGTAAGCTATCTATTTTTTTTTAATAATAAATCAGTATAACGAAATGTAAACAATAAGATAGAAGCCGAGTTTAAAAAGACAAGTATTTTTTCTTACATTATATTCTTTTTTTTTTCTCGACTTGAACTAACCTTTCTTTTTTTTTGTAGATTTTAATTTCCAAATTCACACTAGGGCCAAAGAAGTATACGACAAGAGGTACTGGCACAAGTGACGAAAAGAGGCACTAGTAAATGACAATGGTGCTAGCAACTAAAAGAGGTATCAGTAAATGATAATGATATTAGCGATGCAAAGAAGCACCAGTAAATGACGACTCTAGTGATAAAAAAAGGCAGTAAAGTTTTAATGGCACAAAAAAAAAGATGTAAATAAAAAAAAGAGTTGTATATATTTGATCTGTGTAACTCAGAAGGGATTTGTCCCAATATTAATCAGAAGGTAATCGGAGGCCAGGTTTTCACGTGACCCAGAAAATCTCACCTATATCCTGTATCTGTCGTTGTAACTAGGTGAAATAATAATAGTTTTAGGATGGATAGTCTAAAGAATAGATAGTTAGTAAATTAGCTTTCTTAGAAATATAAAAATGTCTTGTAAAAGACTTGTAAAAAGACATCATCACTGCCTCAAGTCTAATTATTTAATAAATCAAAGCCTCTTTATCTTGAATTTCTTCTAACAAAATCTAAACCCATCCTATAACCAAATATTTTGATTATATTTGGCAATGACAACAGGACTTAAATCTGTGTGAGCAGAGCTCATGTGATTTCCAATATATTAAATGCTATACAATTTAGTCTAGATATAGGAATTATATATCATTTTTTTATTTCAGTAGTGACAAACTATGAAATTCTGTCATTTGAGAATATTTATATATATAACAAAAGGTATATAGAAGAGGCTCAAGACCTGAATCTCTTTTAAGAGAGGTTACTATAATGTCTTCATTATGTTTTCAATTTAATCTAACTTTTAATTAGACCTCTGTACTAGCAGATATAAAATTGAAATATAATTGTCCTTTAATGTTTACAATATCTATTCCAGCACTAATTAATACTTTAATATCTAAATTAACTCCTGCTTTAATTATTTTAGTTTAAATATTACTCAAAGTTGGATTTAGAAGAGTGTTGCTACTATAAAATAGTTGCATGAGATAATTTAACAATACTATAGCTTGGATTACTGACTCTATCTCAGCAATTTTAGTTATTGTAATAAGCATTTTAGGCACTTGTGATGGATTAACTTCGTTAGGATGCTTTTTTTCCAACCAAGGGACATTATTTATTAAAGTTATATCATCATCTCTAATATAAATAATCTCTTTGTATTGAGAATCTATAGGGCTTCATAAAGAATTAAAGGTAAATATGGTATGGCTCTTGGGGTTGCAGACAAAAGAAGAATTTTTGTAAAAGTTCTATTTAGAATATTGTATTCTCTTATTTTTTCTATTTAGAATAGAGCTTCTGGATCAAATTCATGAAATTCATCAATAACAACTAAATAATTGTAGAACTCTTGCAAATTTGGATGTTTAGATAAAAAGGCTATTGTACTTATTAAAAATGTACTATTGTCAGATTTTTGTATAGCCTTGGAGTAATATGAATCCTTGTTTTACTACCTAATACGATTCTATTAAATAGGTTGTTTACTAGCAACTTCTTTTAAAAAAGAATTAGAGTAAGTATCTCTAATTATATTTCGAGGTATAGCATGTAATATCTGTGCTTTTTGTTTTGGAATTATCTAAGTAATATTTAAATTCATTCTTTTCATAACCAAATTTTAATTTGTATCAAGTACGCCTATAAAACCCTAATAAGGATGCTATCATAGTAGTATTTTTGCCTGCTCCAGTAACAGCATTGATAATACAGGCTTTTTTTTCTTCAAATTTTTTATAGAAATCTGAAACAGGGTCAATTAGTGCATCCTATTGATTAATATAGACAGGGCTATCTTGAGAGTCTTTCTTTACCTCTGTATGATGTTGCAATAGATTTGCATATATGATATATAAATTAGCTGCGATTAGTAACTAATCCATTATTCACCAAAAGTTTTTAGCAATTCTAATATTAATCATGGAATCTGTCAACCACGTTACAAATCTTTTTACCCATATATAAGATCACATAGTGTTAGAAAAGAGATTTGTTGACTTGAGTATTCATATTGGTGCCAATAAACAAAATTTAAAACCTGGTAAATTTTAGTCACTTCAATGAATATGACTATAAATAATATCTATGTTAATCCTAGGAATGGTATATTGATTAAATATTTTTTCAAATATGCAATATATACGTATAAAATAGAATACATAGCTAAAATGAACTAGTAGACTCAATAGACTTTATTTATATTTGTGAGACTAGGGTTTTTCCATTTTTCTAATTCTGTCGGATTAGCAAATTCTTGGTTATAATAGCTGTTCTAATAATTGTATATAAATGATGGGTGTTTGCAACAACAGCAAGAGGATTTTGGGTTATTAACTGTTGTAATGCTTGTGTGGTTTAGATTTTGACTCTATTTTTCATTGCTGAAATTAAGACAAATTTTTTTACATAATGTGGTAGGGTGTATCAAGTTAAATCTAGATAGAGAGTGATAATAGATGCGAAACATTTAAAAATCTTATGAGGAAATGCATGTAAACCACTTATTATATCATCTAAGTATTCTCAATATACATCTCAAAGATGTGTGTTTGTATTTAAAAACTAGTCTTCAAAAGTGTTCTACTTAGAGGTTTTTATTTTAGCTACTTTTAATTAGATCTGTAATACCTTATAATAAGAAGAAAAGAGCATAGCTCTAATGTATTCATAAAATTGCCTAACATTAGGCTTTAAGTTTGCTATTTCTTTTTTTCCTAGTTGAATTAACATTAACTCTTGAAAATCTGTATCCTGTCTTTTGAGTTTCATGGGTCTAATTTTAATATTAATATTTTTCACTCTATTTAACTTAGCTAAATATTTTATATTTTTTATATAATATTTAATAATTTTGTTATATAAGTCAGGGTGCTATGCACAGTTCAAAGCTTGGCCTACTAAAGAATATATATTAGAATATAGCCATTTAAGAGCTTTGGGCTTGACCTAATAATACCTTATATTAGATATTCTTATTAATATTTGTGAGGAATTATGTACAACCAATAATATTAGCTATAGCTCAAGAATGATATTTTCTTTTGTAAATTAATAATAATAATACTGTTTGAACACAGTATATAAGTTATAATGTGTTTTCTATGGGTTCATATCTACTACAAACTACAAAATTGCCAAGGTATTCTAAATCGATAATATCTTTCATAAAATCAATAGTCAAATCTATACTAGCAAATACATATACTTCTTTAAATAATTGTTTTATTTCCTGCTCATTATAAGATTGTAGTTTTGAATATGACCTGAAAATATGTTTTTAGTCGATGGCAAAAATTTTGCTATCACCAAAATTTTAATATCAAAATATTTAAAAAACTCACTATGATGATCTCTGATTAAATATACATAAGCTGTTATTAACCTATAACTATATTTAAATATCCACAGATTATTATCAAATGCACTAGCTCTTCCTGTACCTTCATCTCTATTTTTAACATGTATATTTAGAATTTCTAAAAAGTCTTCTGCCATGTTATATAAATAGGCAGATATGTTTTTAGTCAAAATTAGTGCAAAAGAAATAAGATTGTTCACAAGGTCTTGATTATTGACTAATGTACCAAAGAAAGAATACAATGTAAAATATTGTTTATTACTAGGTTTAATTTTAGGTTGTTTATCAGAAATTCAACTTTTATTTACAATAGAATAATCTGTAATTAGAATAATAGTTTCTGGCAAATCTAATTTAATTAGGTAATCTTCGAAAAATTGATTAAAATAATGGTATAAACCTTTTATAGATTTTAAGTACTCATAGTTATTAAGAGCGATCTTAGTCTTTATGAATAGTATTTGTAAGTTAATATAAACATTGGCTAGGTTAACATAAGAGAATTGATCCAAAGAATAAGCCAATAATACCTCTTTCTTGTCCTATTTATTAATAGCATCTCTGAAATATTGATTTAGAGTAGTATAATCGTTTGAAGCATGGTTTTGCATTTTTAGTATCATAAATAATAGATTGTCAATAATTTTTAGATTAGAATTGTGACTGGTTGGCAATTGTTCTATATCTGTTATAAAGTTATATCGATTAGCTAAAGTTGTCTTACTAGTGTCTAATGTAGATAGAACTATACTTTTCTCTAGATATTCAAGAATTTTTCTGAATATAATTGAAAAGATTTGTATTCACTAAAAAGGTCAGGCTGACTTGACACTAAATAATTTATTAATCGATTATCTTTTAAAGGATCATCTGAATTAATTGCAACTGTCAATCCTTTAAATTGGGGCCTTGTTATTTTAACAATAAAACTATATATTAAACTATAGCATAAAGCTTTTGTGATACTTGTGATATTATTAGCAGCAGAAGATCTCTATTGATCATAATACCCAAAATAAGATAATATAGTCATAGTCTCTGCAGCATATTTTTTAAGCTTGGAGTCATAAGCTTTTCTATCACTTTCTCCTGGTTTTTATCCTATTTGTCTCTTTTCATCAAGAGTTTTATACAATTGAACTATGTTATGAATGAAAACCAATCCTGTTTTATATCTAGTTTCAAACATAGTTTGTTATTACCTTTCAAATATAACAACATGGTCTAAAAAACTTGAAGCTAGATCTTGGGCTACTACTGTTTGAATATCTTTACTATTAATCAATTTCATAACAGGAATGATTTGTGACTTGGCAAAAGACTAATCCCAAGATGTAGGGTATTTATCTTCTTCTAATAAATTATAAGTGTGTCTAATAAAAATTTTATCCTACTCATCTTGTAATATTTGTTTTCTAGTTTTATATATTATAGTAAAAGGTATGCCTGGGGAGTATTTAAGTTTTTCCTTGTTGAATGTATTTTTGGCAATTATTTCAGAGTATGATAATTTTAAATTTGCAAGAGCTGTAGACAAGTTCTTGACCATTAAATGAGCAACATCCCAGACTAATATTTTATGTTTATAGATACTGTTAACCTGTAGTTTTTACTATTATCACAGCGATAACAGAAACTGTTCAACTATAGTATGATAACTATAACTTGACAGATTCTATACAAAGTCTACACAAGACTTAACAATATACAGAGT